GTCCAAATAAAAATCTATGAAAAATATGCTATGAACAAGCATTTTCATGTTCTTTAAAATGATAAAAGAAGGCATTGATTTCCTCTAAATCATGCCATCTTGTGACAACTGATCTGAGAAAACTCTGGTTTGTATTGATATCTTGGGTAGTTATTACTTGAAATAGTAAAATCTAACATTTCTTCCTTGATCTGGTCAAGGTCAGTAATCTAAAATGGATCAAATTATGCAGAATGAATGGTGAAGGTGTTCAAAACATTTTTCAAAATAGCAAAAAAACAACTTCCTCACTAAAGGGAGGTGCTATTGAAATTTATGGTCCAAAACCCACCTGACATCTTTAGTCATTTTTTTAATCTCATGTAATATTTCTATATAAATTCTCTATCTCCTTTTCTCTAAAATAATGAATAGATGCCAAAAATACAACTAAAATAACTGAAGAGATCAAAACATGCCTAACAGACTTTTTCAGGCACATGAAGTGCTAGCAATGGGTCAGCAAACTTCTCTGATGGGGCTGGGGAGTGTGGCAAACACGAGGCTGGTGACTGGGGAGAGACTTACTGGGAATAATGGACAATGCTCACTTTTATCAATCATCACTCACACAGCAGACACTCCCTGTTAGCTAGTTCGAGGGGAAGGCAGACCCAGAACAACAGTCTTCTAAGTAGGCAAAGAAACCTGGCCTTTTATTTGTTGGTCTGACATTTTCCCTGCCTACAGAACAAAACTCTATATTTCCATATTGAGAATGATCTTTAGCCAGGATTTCCAAGAAGCTGAGGATTTGAGCTCTGAATTAGTAGAATTCAATTTGTGTCCTCACTTTTTCTTATAATGCCATGTGATCTGGGATAGGAGGAAGAAATTCTATGTCCCTGTAAAATAAACACCTTGGAACAAGGGCATTTATTTCATTTTGAAGGATCTCCCTGCAACTTGGACTAAGATTTTCTGAATCAGAAAGTAAAAGAAAGCAATGAAAGAATTTAATTAAAATCTTTCAGTTTAACTAGGTTACTCTGATCAGAAAGGCTCCCTAAATGAACTTTTTTTTCTACTTGGCTTGAGTCTATTATTCTTTCTATCATGACTGTGAAATGGATAGTCCTAAATTCCTTCAGTCAAATAAATTCAAACTCCCTACAGCATACAGTCATCCCGATGAAAAGATCAACAGTTTATTACAGATGGAGCATGTCCAAAACATTATAATGCTTTTCAGGTGGCAGGTGCTCCTGAAGTTTATCCAAATGGCTGGCTGACTAATTCAGACTCAGACAACATAAACTGAGAAGGGCTGGGGAAGGGAGTGGCACATGTTGTGACATCAGACCCCTAAAACGGTAACATTTACCTTTTGCTAAACCCATGTTACATCAATAAATGGTAAACAAATTACAAAACAAAAAAATAAATAAAAATTCCATGGAAAATCGTAAGTTAATGGTCAGTAAATGACATCAGTACTTATTACTGTGATTGGAATCTGTAATCAATGACTATAGAGTGCTGTGAAATTGTTTTTTCATGCATTAGGTATACCTTTGAAAGGTATGCATGCCTTTTATATATGATCACATATGTCTTTCTCATTTAGATGAGAGATTTTCCCAATGATACTTTAGTGCTATGTGAGTGATGAGTATCATTCATCACTTCCCATATAGCCTGTTCTCCACAAGGGGCTACCCTGGGTAAAGCATCTGGCTCTGGGCCTCCCCCTTTTCTGCAGCCCCTTCATTCTGTAAACCCTCCTCTAAGGAGCCAAGTGGCACCCATGCAGAAAGGAGCCTCAAAGCATTGCTCGGAAGACGTCCATAATATGTTGAAACAGAATCAATGCAAATTAGCAGCCAGTGACTAAGAAGAATTTCTGGAACTGGGCAGGATAACAAGAAGAAAAACTCAGGTGGGCAGAGGTAATCAAGAAAAGCATAAGAGAGGGCTGAACCTAGTAGGAGGGCCTGAATTTGGTATGAAGAAGAAGTAAAAAGAAGGCATTTCAAAAAATGGTCAAGGAGACTGAGAATGAGATCATGCACCTCATTTGAGTTATTTCTTTGGGAGTGGGGTAAGGTGCTGCTTTGGGTTTGGTCACCTTCATTTTTTCATGCACAATGTTGTATGGACTGTGGAAGGAAGAGTAATATGACAGTGAAGAGATCTGATTAGATATTTCTGCATTTTCCAATTTAAGACCTTGGGCCACATATCCACCAAACCTCTGTCCCTCAACTCTCAGACATTCTGGGTACCAACTACTGAGCCATGGATCAGGAATAAAAATTGTAGAGTATATGATACCTGGAACATGAGCATGATCAAAAAGTATTAACATCTTAGCCTGTGATTCTGGGCATCTTCCTTCCATTACATATTTCAATGTAATGAAATATGAAGCTAACTGATGGTTGTTTTCAAGACAAGAAAATTATTCAGAGGTTCAATTTATTTATTAGTATCAAGTTTTTATTTTTTAAACAATTAGCTCCACTGGGTTTCCCTGACCATTTCTGACCCATATGTTTGAGAAGACTGTGCCTTTGGAGTCATACTCAAGACAGGTCTTTTATGAAGTCAGCCCACCAAAATCCTGGGGGTACTCCTCCTAAGTCTCCCTTGTCTGGCTTCCATGCTGAGGGCTCAGCCCTGAGTTTTATGCTGATCTTATCAAATTTGGTTCCTTCTCTTACCTTGTCTTAGACCTCTCCCACCTTTACTTCCACCTCACCAGGGAACCCCAAATCTGTCTCTCATTATCACTGCTTTCTTATTTTGTTTTGTCTACTCATCGAATGTACATCCATATTATTATTTGGTTTTTGGGACACCTCTGACTGTAATCAGGGCTTACTCCTGGCTCTGCACTGGAAGCACTCCTGTTAGGGCTGAGGGGACCATAGGAGGTGCTGGGAAGCAAATGAAGGTCCGCTGCATGCACAGCAAATGGCCAACCCCACTATCATTCCAGCCCCCAATTATACATTGCATACATGTCTTACATAGAGACCCATAGTAAAGATTAGGTGAAAGGAAAGAAAGAGGGATTGGAGAGATAATACAGCAGTTAGGACAATTGCATTGCATGCGGCCAATTCAGGTTCTATCTCTGGCACTACATACGGTCCACTGAGCCCCATCAGGAGTTGTCCCTGAACTCAGAGTCAGGAGTAAGCCCTGAACACAGCTGGGTGTGACCCCAATACAAAAAATAAAATTATTGTCCTAATAGTCACAAATATAAAATCAACATTTATTATGAAAGGGCTGGAGCAATAACACAGCAGTAGAGCATTTGCCTTGCGTACAGCCAGCCCGACAGAGCCAGTTTCGATTCTTCCGCCCCTCTCAGAGAGGTCAAGCTACCGAGAGTATCTCATTTGCAAGGCAAAGCCTGGAGAACTACCCATGACGTATTCAATATGCCAAGCACAGTAACAACAAGTCTCACCATGGAGACATTACTGGGCCTGCTTGAGCAAATCGATGAACGAGAGGACAGTGCTACAGTGCAGTGCTATTACGAAAGACTCCTTTGCAGCCAATGTCATTAAATTAAAACAACTGCACTTTTAAAATACGGGGGTTGAAAAAGTATATACATTCATAGTAGGAAAACATGTCTTTGAAGATGCAGATAAATTTCCAGAGGGATAAGTTGGAGGTACCACAGCAGTTCAATATGGCATGGTAGGAAGAGTAGATCTCAAATAATTTGGCTTTGTGTTTTATTGTCACAAAAAGTTTGCAACTCTAAGAAAGATAAAATGTAAATACTATTGTAGAGCATTAAAGTGAAAACCAAAAAAGTGGACCCCATTGCTCACTTGCACAAATCAAGTACCACATTCAACAGTGCTCTCCCGTGCTCCTGTGTGAGCACTAAGCCTTGTATTAGAGGAATCACTATGTTGAAATATAAGAAAATAAAATAACTGAGGTATCTTTGACATCTATTTTATTAGTCCACCTTCACTGAATTATTTTAGGAGTCCTGAGTTATCAAATAAACTCGGGTTTCCAAGAAAATATGAACTTTGTACATGTTAGCTATTCAGACACATGAGCCCTTTGGTATTCTAGTCAGATCCCTTCTGTCAGTGCCAAGTATTTCACCAAGTTTACATGTGATGAAATAGACAGGGTGTCCAGAGCACACTTTTAAAGTAAACTTTCTTGGAATTCTAACTAGATTCTTTAAAGTACTAACACACATGCAGACACATGCAGTCACGCATATATACGCTAAACATATGCATATGTGCCACATACTCATCTCCTTTTGCTTAGGCTTAAACTTCTCAAACAATAAAGGTATATTAACCAAGTCTCATTAATATTAATGTATACTTTTTAATTTTGCTCCCTGAACACTGGCACTTTGTTGTACGAAATTAAAGCTCTGACAGAAACATGCAATTAATCGTCAGCAAGAAAACGCATCACTGTGTCACAGTTAATAAGCAGCTCACTGCAATCATACCTTGATCATTCTCCTGAGCTGTTCCATCTTTCCACAGTGTGCTTAGAACTATAATGCCTAATATTAGTTCCCTTCATGATGGCTCAGGTGGTATTTAAAAATGGAGAGTCACATGCTGTCTCCCTTGCAGATGTACAAACAACTCATTTCCATTTATTGGGAAGGACAGACAGAGAAATACCAAAAGAGAAGAACGACTTGTTTTTCATTCCCTGCTATCATAGAAGGAATCAATGTTTTCAATTACAACCTCAGCCTAAGACAGAAAGCTAAAAGCTGGTTCCTAGGCCCTGTGAGCATTTGAGCTGGAGTCTTTTATTACCAGCAACAGTTCTCACGAAGGAAAATCTTCTGTCTAAAAGAGCAGAGGCTCTAACTAGTTACACATCTTATTCCTATTTTGGAGTTTCTAGGGACTCTGGGTTCCTTCTTTGTTCTATTAGAGACTTTGTGTCTTGACCAGAGGAACTTTCCCTCACCACAGGGGGCTCACACATGGCAGTCCTACCTTCACGAGGATCTGAATGGAGCCTGTGGCCTTGGCAGAGATGAAATACCAGAAGCTCAGGGTGCAGGCAGCACTGGATTCCTGCCACATGACACTCTTGAGGTGTGCCTTCTCCCCACGCAGGCCCACTGGAGTAGCCTCCAGATACAGGAAGTGTCCTAGGAACAAAGACAGGATGGAGAGAGGACAGAGATGGAAAAAATTTTAAAAAAAAAACAAGAAATCCATTTGAATTTTTTCAGTTTTGAGTTTTTAATTACATTTCCTATAATCTGAGTTGCCAAAGGCATTTCCATTTGAAACAGAAAGGAAATCTAATACCTCTGCCTCTAGCTCACTGATAGAACAATTTCCAATTACCTGCTTTTAGCAAAGCACTTCACTGTATGCAGATGAACTTATCTGATGGGATATTTATGCCATTAAATAAACATGATAGTTACAGAAATCTTTTAATGAACCCCTCTAACAATCAAATTAGGGTAAAACAATACTAAGATTACCTATGAAATCTAAATGAATACAATGAACTCTTAAAATCTCAGTCATTTGTTGAGTGTTAATAAAACACTGAAATTGTAAATAGGCAACATGAGAAGGCTCACTGAATTTTATTTGCACAACTGAATTTTTATTTGCACAAATATCCAAAACATTTTCTGTATGTAGAACAAAGTGAATTAGACATCTGCCTTTCCCTGGTTTTTTTTTTTTTTTTTTTTTAGTCCTGCTTGGAGAGCATCAGTATTTTTTATGGGTCTGTGTCTTTTCAATATTTATACTTTTCCCAATTTCTATAGGGGCCAGGGATTCAGAGTTCTTCTTTAAAAAAGGAGCACTTGCCCACTAACAGGTTAAATTGAGACTGGATTTCAGCGATTTAATGCAGATACAAGTCAGGAATAAAGTCTTTAATACATCTAATCTCACCTTAAATTTCCTTTGTGCATACCATTTTACTAATCTCAACAACCAGGTTGCATATATGAGATAAATTTTATTTTCTCCACTTAACCAGTGAGGAGTTGATAATCTGACAAAGTAAAAAGTCTTCCTAATGATCAAGTGAGGGAAGAATTCAGGGTTATGAAGACAACAGTGTGTCACTCAGGAAAGTGCTGAAGGAAAAGCCTAGTGAGGAATAAAGCCTAGAGGCACAGCCTGAGAACTAGCAGGGTCTTCTTGCTCTAGGAAAGAATCCCAGAGAAAGTTAGAGAAATAAGTTAAAGAAGGTGGTTTATTAAAGCATTTATTCAAGGACCAGGGTGTGGAGTATTCAAAAGAAAGAGCAGTTCTGTTTTTAACATTTTTCTTATTTGCTTGGTAATAGGAATAGGACAAATTATTGAAGGGTAGAAAATGAATATTTTAGGGGTTCTTAAGGTAGTGATTTCTCAGAATCAAGGTGCCAACTCAGACGCTAAACATACTTGGTTGTGGTTGTTTCCTTGGGGTTCCCATGATAATTATAAATTGTCTGGAGTGGGTGGGTGTGATTTGTATAATGCAAATATATCACACTTAGCGTGTAATTTTAATGAGGGTATGGTTGGAAATCATCGGTTAGATACTTGGTCTTCCATTTTGAATTAGTTCACAGCCAAGTGTCCTTAGAACTTATTCTTTCCACCTTTTGGTGTCAAGCATCTGAAATTCGTATCTATGTTGGAAAAAAGCTTCCAGGTGTTGTGCATGACCTGCAGAAAAGAGCTGATCAAAGAAGGAAGCTTGTCAAAGATGGGAGGGGAATGAACAATTATTTTAGTTTTTGTTTTCTTGGTTTTTATAATCTTTCAGTAAGTTTGAGACAGGTGGGATGTTAGGACTTCTATCACATGGCCTATCCTCCCAGATAGGGCCTTGTGGCATCCTATTCTCACATTCCATTCATTCCTTCCCTTTTTCATCTCTCATCCTACCCAGTGCTCCTTGTTGCCTGCTCTTGCCTATATTAACAGTCCTCAAAAGTCAGCAGGCCTGCTGATGCCCTTATTTCCTGCTTCTAACATCCACACCTGTGAGACAGTAAGTTCCAGTGATTAATCCACCTCCTCTGAGGCCCTGTCACGGCAATCTCAGAGACAAATACACTCATTAAACATTCGATTTACTTGCTGGGGCACCAAGGTGGTCTCTCTCAGTTATTGTCAAGGTAAACAAAATGATGATCCTGGTGAAGATGATCAGAGTAAAAGTCACAACACCCGTAACCTACCATTTTCATCTCCCCGTGTGTGGTCTCGGGGCGGTCTTAGGCTTTGATGAGAGCCAACTCCCCAAACCCAATCAAAGTTTTCAGCCCGTGAGTTCTGCCAGCCACACCAGCCATTCTCAAAAGTGCAGGAACTACTGCATTCATTCTCTTCATGGTCATCTACAAAATTACAGCTCTGCTCAGCTCTATAGAATTTGCTGTTCAGACATTCCGGGTAACCGTGAGGGCAGGGACCTAAAGCAAAGGAAATAAAGCAAGCGTAAGGGAACATTATACAATACATTCAGGGAGAGCAAAAGGCAATGAGGATAAATTTACTTTAATATATAAAGAAACACGGTGTTCTTAGGCATTTCAGAGGTCTGACGCCAATTTCTTTCTCCTAACCCTTTCAGAATCTAACCTATACAATAATATCAGGAACCATTCAAAGAGAAAAAACGTTTTATTTATTGATCTAGTAAATTAAAGTCCTGTATCTTCTCAAATACAGAATTTTTTATAAGCAATGCTCAAGAACATATAGTATATATAATTCATATATGGTTGTATATATATTATATTATATATATACATATTAGATCTGAAAGCCAAAATGATGCTTCCATTTGATAACCTGGATAAAAATCTTCAGGATACTAAAAACATATGTACAGTGGGGTACTTAGAAATCTAGAACATTAACATCCATGCACTCAGACATGTATCAGAAGCGAAACACGTTTACGGTACTTAGAGGCAAGTGTATGCATAAAGAATAACCAATTTTCCAACCGATTTTTCTCCAAAATGTTTATCTACTTATTAAGTTGGGGGAAGTCTAGAAGCAATTTCCCTCCAGTATAATGCTACACATAAAATTGCTCTTTTTGAGCACTTAAGGTAAAGAATAATGTGTCTTTTTGTTTGCTTTGGGGGCTACATCTGGTGATGCTCAGGGCTTAATTCTGGCTCTGCACTCAGGAATTCTTCCTGGAGTGCTCAAGTGACCATATAGGATGCCAGACATCGAACCCTTGTCAGCCTCATGTAAGGCAAGCATCTTCCCCACTGTATTGTCTCTGCATCCCCAAGAACAATTTGCTTTTGAGTATAAACTCATGCTGGCACTTGTCATTCTGTGAGTTGGGTGACACAAATCCTTGATAAACTTTACTTTCTCTCCGTAAGAAGAATAAAATAGTAATAGAACCTAAAAATATTAGGCTAATAAAAAATACTACTGTTTGAATCATCAGTGCATTGCACAGTACCTGAGTCTTTGGAAGTAAACAGCAAATATTAGTCAAATAAATGAATGACTGCAATAAAATGCATTGGAGATAATACAGTAGTTTAGTGTGTCCACTCATGATACTATTAGCCTGTTACTATTAAACCAGAACATCGCCAACAACATGGAGAATGGTATCACAGCAGGAAAATTCCTCTAGCTTCATTCAACTTGGGAGTTCAAATTCACAAGTGTTCTCAGACACTATAGCACCAGGAATCTTCCCCATTTACCCATTACCAGATAGAGGTGAAGATAATAACACTTCTATTTGCATTCTGGATGACAACTTTCATTGTCTGGTATTTGAGTGAATCCAAGAAAGAAGATAATGCTTTAGAAATTAATTGACATATTTTCTTTGGAGTTAAGAACTCCTGCTAATGAAAAAAGTACATCATGTATCAGTTTTTAATGTGCTGGATGGATCTCACATTTATAGACAATACAGAGCAAGGAGGAAAGAAGTGGGGGGAGGGGGAAAGAATTGAACACCATGTAGAAACTTGAGCTGTTCTCAACTGCTTATTTAGCACCTAATTAAATGACCTTTCCACTAGCAAAACCTTTGAAAATAAGTTTCAACCAGGCATTCTGCTTCAAAGAATGGGTTCATTGCTAACATTTTTCTTTCTTGCAGTGTAAGATTAAACCATTCTTACTTAGGTGCCCCATAGTTAAATTTCAGAAGATTGGGGGTAAGATAAAAGACCTTTAATGTTTCAATTACAGAGCTTGACTCAGAATCAAAATTTTAAAGCATTTTTAGCACATAGAAATGAAGATCACCTACATTAGCTGAGTCATTTATAGAGGATAAAAAATTTACAAATGTTAAGTGACTTGCTGCTTTTTCAAAACAAGAGATGCAATTTAGACCAAGGTCCAAAGTCTTCAGAATTACTTTTTTCAAATCCACTGACTTGTTAAGAGCAAAGATATTAGGTCAGATGTTATAAGACAAAGACCACTGAGAAATAAACATGGCAATGCCGACCATCAGCTGCCTCATTTCTCACAGAACTGCCGAGAATCCAAGAAATTAAGATATCATTTAATTTTATACAAGTTGGCATTTGCATTGATTCTGTCAATTCCAATTTGTTAGGGGAGTAGAAATAAAACTGGTTCTTCTGATGCTTTTCTCCAAAGAAACAGAATCAAGCTAAAATCTAATTCTTCTCGAACAACAAGAAAATAACTTAGGCATGTTTCAAAATGAAAACAATTATGGAACCCAATGTCTTATATATTTAACATAGCTAATATTGCAAGATAATAATAATCATTAGGTCTTACATTTATAAATCAAATAGATGCATCATTAAAATAAAATTCAACTATTATGTAGCACTGTCCTCCCGTTGTTCATCGATTTGCTTGAGTGGGCACCAGGAACGTCTCCATTTGTGTGACTTGTTGATACTGTTTTTGGCATATCGAATACACCACGGGACAGTTTGCCAGGTTCTGCTGTGGGGGCTGGATACTCTTGGTAGCTTGCCAGGCTCTCTGAGAGGAACGAAGGAATTGAACCCAGGTCGACCTCGTGCAAGGCAAATGCCTACCTGCTATGCTATCGCTCTAGCCCAATTCAACTATTATACAAGACTAAATTGGATTAAACCTCCCCAGCATTAATAAAAAATCATCATCAAAAACTCATTCTATCTATAAAATAACATGTATTGATAACATTTTTGGATAACTAGCAATTAAAATTACCAACTAATGCCATTTATTGAAAAAAACATTTTCTAGTCTTGTTGTTTAGTCCAAATTAATCAGTTACCCAAGATCAGAGTGTATATCTTTGAGTGAATCCAATATTAGTAGTCTTGCAAAATGATATGACTTTTACTTTTTGTGGAGGGAGCCACACCCGGTGGTGCTCAGAACTTACTCCTGGCTTTGTGCTCAGAGATCATGCCTCAAAGTGTTCATAGGACCACAGATGGTTCTGGGGATCAAAGGTGAGCTGGCTATATGCAAGCAAGCACCCTAACTGCAATATTATCTTTCCAACCTCATAATTTTAATTTTTATTAAAAATATTGCTTAAACTCGGCAGTGATTTACTTTGTTGGGCAATCTGATTTTGTAAAGAATAACTTAGGCAAGTTAGAGAACCCCAGATGCAAATCATAGAGACATCTGGAAAGTGGCATGCTAACTTCAAACTTTAATTCTTCACTTCCAAATTGTCTGATTTTTTTAGTCCCCCCATCTCTTTTAAAGTCAACTAGATGACACCAGGTACTCCAAGGAAAGCATTTTCTTTGGAACTCTCTGCAGTGTAGTCTTCCTGTTGCTTTTGGAGTTTGTCATCATTGTGGCAGCTCTCCATCAGCTTCCTACATCTGGGGCAACTAATAAGAAAGCAAGAATACAACCTTCTCTGGGAGAATATTCAATGCCACCATCACATCCTGTGTATAAGAATCCTCATGCTGGTCCCACCCCTAACCACCATACAACTGCAAGCCAGTTTCTTTTCTTGTTCTCTAATAAAATATTTTGGACAAAAGCACAGCAGGTGGGGCATTTGCCTTGCACGCGGCCAACCCGGGTTTGATTCCTCCGTCTCTCTTGGAGAGCCCGGCAAGCTACCGAGAGTGTCCCGCCTGCACAGCAGAGCCTAGCAAGCTCCCTGTGGCATATTCAATATGTCCAAAACAGTAACAAGTTTCACAAAGGAGACATTACTGGTGCCCACTCGAGCAAATCGATGAACAATGGGAGGACAGTGCTACAGTGCTACCTAAAAATGATCCTATCTCCCTCAAACGTTACTTCATAAGAAAAAAATTCAAAAACTATCTTTTATGTATATATCATTGCACTTGATACAATGAACAAAATTTGGATAGAAACCCTTCTTGAAACTGTAGATGGTCCCAAGATCTAAGATCTTCAATCATCATGTAATCATCATATATGGCTGTGACATGCACACAATTACGTATTCTACAGATGAGAGCTACAGTCCATGGTGTCTTTGGGGCCATTCAGTGTCTGTGATTAAAACCAAGTCTTTGAACACACAAGGCATTTGCCTTTGATCCCTGAACTATCTTCCTTGCCTGGAGCTTTCTCTTTCTTTTTTTTTCTTCCTTCCTTCCTTCCTTCCTTCCTTCCTTCCTTCCTTCCTTCCTTCCTTCCTTCCTTCCTTCCTTTCTTTCTTTCTTTCTTTCTTTCTTTCTTTCTCTTTTTTTCCCCAACAGTGTTCCTGCAAACTGGAATCATGCTGAAATACTTAGTTAACAGGGCTGGCTAGTTCACTGCTAGGGTTGAAGGATTTAGCTCAGCCTATACATGGCTGGGGAGTACCTGGGCTATCTGGTGGTACCTGGGGAGCTCGGGGAGGGGAGCAAAGGGTGCCTGTGTGCATGACCCAATCATTGTGCAATTTCTGGCACCTGGAGATTGTGCTTTTATCCATATTCATTATGATACAAGAATGGCTTTTTCAATTGAATGTTATGTGAGACTGGATATGTCCAATAGAACCACCAGTTTATAGCAACACCAAGGGTTCTGCTGATACCATCAGGCCAGATCCTGTATATCAGTATTGATCTTTCTCAATATGAGTTTCATGGGGCAGCAAATCCTCTGGGTGATATGAGGATGAAAAATAAAATCTGTCTTATTTTCTTTACAGATAGTTAAAACTGGCAGACCACTCCCTTTGGGAGGTCTTGAAATATTTGAAACACCTTCCTATTTGTATTAGAATCCTCCTTTTTTTTTGGTCTTGTTTAACTTCAGCAAAATATCTGAAGGCACTATGGTATCTCATTTCATGCTTGTAAAGGAGGAGATGGAGGAAATAGCTAGCAATTCCAAAAAAGGAAATGAAATTAATAAATTGACAAACAAGAACAACCCAAATACTAAACAAACAAAACATCCAAAAGCCAGGGAGATGGATTGAGATTTGCATTAAGGAAAAAGAGGA